GAGAAATAGCGGCAAGGTGGCAACCCTAAGAGTAGTGTGTAAAAAAATTATTAAATCAATGGGTCTATTCCATGGGCATGGGCCTGGAGCTGCAGCTCCGTCAGCCCCTATGTTAATACGGCCCTGTAACATATAAATAATTAAGTTGTGTTATTCTTATTACAGGATGAAAATTGGTGCATGATTGTCAAAAATTGCATACCTACTAATTTACTCTCATATTAGAAATAAGTTTAATAACAAATACTTAAATTATTCTCAAAAGCTGAAGGTCAATAGACAGAGGAAGTTATTTCTGTCAAAAGATCAAGGAAAGTACTTATCTATTTAGGATTTTGGAAGGCTTGGAGGTTTTTGTTAAAAGATCTAATGCATCTTTCTATTCACTTTAAATCAATTACACTTCTAAAATGATGTCCTTTGCTGTCATTGTGGTGTTTTCACAGTAAGGACTTTGCTCACTTAAAAATGATAAATAGGAAGGTTATTTTATTGAGGAGGTTGAACATGACCAATTTCATTCCAACCATCCCTAGCTAACACACAATAATGTCCATGACATCAACAGAATAGAATATTGATCAATCAGGAGTCTGTTCAATCAGACTGTGCACAACATAACAATTGCTATGTTGAAATAGTTGTCACTTGGGAGACAGTGATTTTCACTCAGCATTTGTTGTAGATATGATCACAATAGATTCTAAAATACAAGCGAGTAAGTTCTCTTGCGTTTATAATTACAGTGTCTTTGCTAATCACATTGGCATCATGAGTCTAGCACTAGTAATATAATTTTTTTTATATGGGTAGAAGAGAAGTTTGCAACTGATAAATGTAAATTAACCCAAGGTCATGAGTTTATTTTATCTCAAGTCAGTCCAGCCTTTATTGATATTGCTGGGGTGCCATACCTTCAAACTCCCAGCACAGAAATATATTTCCCTCTAGGCTCCAGACTAAGGAGATCATCGTGTCTTTCCAGTTTGTTTTTCTTGGTGACATTCCAGCATTCCCCTAGCTAAATCAATGTTCCTTAAAGCAGCAATATTGATTTGTTCATTTTACTTTCATTGTTTTACCTGTCTAGTAAACAAGGATATTTTTAATTCTTTTTTTTTTTTTTGCTTCCTTCTATGTTAAACTTTTATTGCTTGCTTGAGAAAAAAAAAGTAATATGCATCAATTTTCCGTTTTTTGTTTTAGGCTTTTTGTGTCAAAAATTACATAAATTCTAATTTGCATTCATAGTTTAAATATATTACATTTGAAATGGAGGAAGATAGTAAACATGTGAAAGGACAAAACTTTAGGTTCTTTTTGGTCATTTGGTTAATTTCACATTTTTGAAAGTTTGACCAACTTTTGTTCATATATTTATTATTTTTGGCCGAATGTCAGTAACTTTTTAGTTTAATTACCAACTTGTTTTATTCTCTATGGAAAAAAATAATGATGAATGTTTGTAAGGCAGGATTGATGCAAATTGAAAGCAAATAAAAAGATAAATAAAATAAAAAATAAATAAAATAAATTTAAAAAATATTAATTTTAAAGAAGGGCTATGTCATTTATTCATGTGCATATTCATGAAATGCATTTGACATGTCCTTAACATATACAGCACCAAATTCTTTGAGTGACAGCTAATGGCATTGTCTTTTTTTTCTATAATCCCCCTCCCCTTCTCTCTCTGTTGACTAGCCTGAGCTTCCTCTTCATTTCTGGCACCAGCAGAGAATGCTGGTGCTGTTGTTGAATCTTCCATCTCCTCCTACAACAGAACAGCCTTGTGTTGAGCACAGGGATGATTGGTCAGCCTTACGCTCCTCAAATGTTCCCAAACTTTCCCCCTGCTAACCTTCTACCCACACAGCCTGCATTTTGTCAAAATCAAATCTTCCACAGAATAAAAATGTTCCCACACTTTTCCACTATGCTGTAGACCTGTTTCTGCTCAAACTCCGGCTCCATTCAAGTGCTACTGCTGCTTCTTATTAATGTGCTTGCTGTTGTATCACTACTACAGTTGAGCGGACACCTGGATGTTCGGGTTCACCGGGTTCGGCCAAACGTTTGAGTTCGGGACTTGAACTTGACCCCTAACCCGAACCCCATTATAGTCAATGGGGACCCGAACTTTTGGGCACTAAAATGGCTCTAAAATGGCCCCCACCCCTGCACGGCGGGTGGGGGCCCTACATAACAATGAGGGGGGACCTACTGTCCTCCCCCCAGCCCCCAACCCTGAGCGGTGGGTGGGGGCCCTAAATAGGATTGAAGAGGGGACCTACTGTCCTCCCCCCGGTCCCCAACCCTGCACGGCAGGTGGGGGCCTGCATAACAATGAGGGGGGAACTACTGTCCTCCCCCCGTCCCCCACCCCTGCACGGTAGGTGGTGGCCCTAAATAAGATTGAAGGGGGGACCTACTGTCCTCCCCCTGGCCCCCAACCCTACGTGGCAGGTGGGGGCCCTAAATAACAATGAGAGGGGGGAAATACTGTCCTCCCCTTGGCCCCCACCCCTGAGCGGTGGGTGGGGGCCCTAAGTAAGATTGAAGGGGGGACCTACTGTCCTCCCCCTGGCCCCCAACGCTGCGCGGCAGGTGGGGCCCTACATAATAATGAGGGGGGAACTACTGTCCTCCCCCCGGCCCCCACCCCTGAGCGGTAGGTGGGGGCCATAAATCCTCCCCCCAGCTGAGCAGTGGGTTGGGGCCCTAAATAAGATTGAAGAGGGGACCTACTGTCCTCCCCCTGGCCCCCAACCCTGAGTGGTGGGTGGGGGCCCTAAATTAAACCCCCCCTTCCAAGGTGACTAGGGGACCCCTAGTGACCTCCCCCCACCCAAATAAAAATCTAACCCCTACCTACCCCCCTCACCCTAAAAATAGTGAGGGGGAATAAAATAACTAACCAGTAAATAAAAATAAAACTTACCATTTGATGTCTTCTTTCTTCTAAAATCTTCGCTTTTCAGCCCCTAAAAAAGGCCAAATAAAAAACAATCATACCCGTCGAACTTAAAATAAAATTAAAAATCTGAGCGCAAAAAAAAAGATGAAAAAGGAAAAACCGGACGCTAAAAAAAATAATCCATCTTCACCTATGGAGGGCTCCATGCAGTCTGAGCTCTGCAAGGGAAGGAAGGCTTATAAAGCCTTGCCCCGCCCTGCCATTAGGCTAAGAACACTCTGATTGGTTAGTTTACACAGCATGGGAAAGTTCTTTGGAATTTTCCCACGCTGTGTAATTTGAATCATAACTAGAGTTGAGCAGACACCTGGTTCGGGATCGAACTTGACCCCGAACCAGAACCAATGGGCACTCGAACTTTTGGGCACAAAAATGCCTCTAAAAAAGTCATGGAAAGGGCTAGAGGGCTGCAAAAGGAAGTAAAATGGGGGTAAGAGTAGGACAAATGCCCTACAAACAAATGTGGATAGGGAAATCACTTAAAATAACATAAAAATTAAAAATACAGCTGAGCCATAAAATAGCAAAATCTTTGATTTTAGCTTTGGAAGAACATAAATCAAAATCTGAAGCATGGCTGTCAGGAGGATCACCAGAACTATCCATTTGAGGGAGGGTTGGAGTGCAGGGTATTCTCTTTCATTGTTCAAACTGAGCTCAACTCCTGATGCATGTAGAAAAGGCCTTCACAAGACTCTGCTATTGTGTACATGGTTTATACTAAGTGACCCATAGGTTGAGGAGGCGGTGACCATGGCGGTGTAGGTGGAAGCGGCAATGGAGGATGAGGAGGAAGCTAACACTGTTTATTTGTTTTTTGTTTGTTTTTTTAATTGGGGTAGCCCCCAAAATATTGGGACATCTAAAAAAAGAAAACTCTGTTCCGCAGAGCGACTGACCCGTGCGTGCTGCAGCTGAAACTTCACTATCGACTGCACAGTCTCTTGAGGCGGAGAGCAGGAAGGCCGAAGTTACGCTGCAGCGCAGACAGGCGAGCAGCAGCAGTAGGGTGAGAACGGCAAAAGCACTCACAGACGGCCCTCACTTTCTGCAGCAGCTCTGATATAACTGGGTAGTTTTTAAGGAATTTCTGCACCACCAAATTCAGCACATGCACCAGGCAAGGGATGTGCGTCAAACCGGTTAGGCCCAGCTGCTACAAGAATTTGCCCATTATCACACACCACCAGGCCAGGCTTGAGGCTCAGTGGCAACAAACACTCATCGGTCTGTTGTTCCATGCCCGTCTATAGCTCCTGCGCGGTGTGGGTTTTTTCCCCAAAACATATGAGTTTGAAAACAGCCTGTTGTCGTTTCCCCCTGGCTGTGCTGAAGTTGGTGGTGAAGGTGTTACGCTGACCGGATGAGGAGGTAGTAGAGGAGGAGGAGGAAGAAGCTGAGTAGGAGATGGAGGCAACAGGAGGCAAAGCTGTGTACCCAAATGAAGATTGTCAAACGTTGTATCCTGGAACTGTGTCCCATCTGGTTACTGGGAAAATGGGTCTGACCTATTCTAATCAAAGGGGATAACCATTGGTTACCCAGGTCCCGCTTCAATTGGTGGCAATTACTGAGAGCCACCCTCAGAGGATATTGTCAGCAGGACCTTTTTAGAGGTGCAAGCCTATGTCCTTGCCAATAGACAGAGGGTGACCTCCATGAACTCAGATGAAGGAAGAAGGGAGCAGAGGGCGCCAGGAAGCACAACCACCCTGGCCCACAAGCTAACATACAATGCCTTCAAGAATTCAAGGAAGCAGAAGAAGGCATAGATGACTTTTTACAAGACTTTGAGCGCCAGTGCCTACTCCAAGACGTGGACCCCAGCGACTGGGTCACCATCCTGGCTAGCAAACTAGTGGGGAAGGCAGCGGATATTTACCGGGCTGTACCAGAAGAGCAGATCAGAGACTATCCCTTTATTACCCAAATCCTCCAGGTCCGGTATGCGGTCACCCCCGAGCAATACCGCCGAAAGTTTAGGGAGACCCGGAAAGGGTAGAAGGACTCCCATGCGGAGTGGGCATGCCACATCACAAGGGCCACCCAGAACTGGCTCAACTCTCATCAAATCAATTTCCCGGAGGAGATCACCCAGCTCGTCATGCTAGAGCACTTTTTCAATGGGCTCCCCAACGACATGGCAACGACGCATTCGTATGTCATCCATATGAACTTTCGATGACACTTTCTGCGCCTACCATGGTGACCACGGGTAACGGGGAATCACGGTTCGATTCTGGAGAGGAAGACTGAGAAACGGCTACCGCATGCAAAGAAGACAGCAGGCGCGCAAATGACCCACTCCCGACATGGGAAGTTAATGACAACAAATAACAATACAGGACTCTTTAGAGGCCCTGTAATTGTAATGAGTCCACTTGAAATCCTTTAACTCTGATCAATTGGAGGGCAAGTCTGGTGCTGAGTGACTGACCCGTGCGTGCTGCAGCTGAAACTCCACTATCGCCTGCTGCTGCTCGCACAGTCTCTCCAGCACGTGCAAGGTGGAGTTCCACCTTGTGGGCATGTCGTATATGAGGCGGTGAGCGGGAAGGCCAAAGTTACGCTGCGGCGCAGACAGGCGAGTAGCAGCAGGGTGAGAATGCCGAAAGCGCGCACAGCCACTACAGGGAATGTCACATCCTGTTCCAAGTTGAGATTCAGTCTGGTGATGGCTTCTGGTATCCAGTACTCTTTTTACTGAAGCTGCATCAAGGTCCTGGTATGTGGCCACACAAACACTGGTGCTTAACACTAGGGGGAGTGTGGTTACCCTGCACCAGACCCTGCTAATCCATTCCACACTGTGACTCCTACCTTCAACATCAGGAATACTGGGTCCCGGTCTTTCGACCACCACCCAGACAGTGTCTGGGTCCTGGTCACCAGACTGTGAAACTGCGAATGGCTCGTTAAATCTGTTATGGTTCCTTTAATCGTTCCATCTGTTACTTGGATAACTGTGGGAATTCTAAAGATAATACATGCCGACGAGCGCTAGGGGACGGACGCTCCGCTTTTGCACCCTGCTCCCTCTTATGCTGTGCTGGTGCCTCTTCCTCCAGACTGCACACATCACTCGATTGACCTTGATTCCATGTGGGGTCTAGGACCTCATCATCCTCCACATCATCTTCCACCCACTCCTCAACCCTGCCATCCTTGCCGGTCTGCACACTGCAGAAAGCCACAGCAGTTGGCACCTGTGTTTTTCCAGCATGTAAAGTCTGAAAAGGACATATGGAAATTGTTTTAGAATTGTATCCAGGCAACAGTTTTCCCTATAAACTGAGCTCTCAGTTTGACTTGCGAGGGTATTGCCCCCGAATTACAGTATTGTTATATTGGTATTTGACGGTTCTATTTGACTGTGAGATATGAAGTGCAGGCCGCAAATGTACTATTTAGCACCCAAAAAAAATTGAATTGGCCAAACTGCGCTGTAACCACAGTATTTGATGGTTCTATTTGACTGTCAGATATGCAGTCCAAACCCTAAATTTACTTTTTATCACCCAAAACTATTAGAATTTTTCAAAGTGCGCTGAAAGCACAGTATTTGACGGTTCTATTTGACTCTCCGATATGAAGTGCACCGCAGGCCGCATATGTACTATTTAGCAGCCAAAAAATTTGAATGTTTAAAACTGCTATGTACAGCACTATTTGACGGTTCTATTTGACTCTCAGATATGAAGAGCACGCCCCAAATGTACTTTTAAGGAGCAAAAAAATGGGAATTTGTCAAAGTGCGCTGTAAACACAGTATTTGACGCTTCTATTTGACTCTCAGATATGAAGTGCAGTCATCAAACTGACTATTTAGCACCTAAAGAATTATAATTTTTACAACTGCAATGTAAGTACAATATTTGACGCTTCTATTTGACTCTCAGATATGAAGTGCCCCCCATTAATGTACTTTTTAGCACCCAGCCACTAGAAGCTTTAGAGGCTGGATTAACCTATTTATAAACATAGCAGTTTCTCTGAAACTGCTATGTTTATAAAAAAAAGGAGTTATCCCAAGCTGGACCAGGCACCCAGACCACTTCATTAAGCTGAAGTGGTCTGGGTGCCTATAGTGGTCCTTTAAGTTTTAAAACTGCAACGTGACAGCAGTATTTGATGCTTCTGTTTGACTCTCAGATATGTAGTGCACACCCCAAATGTACTATTTAGCACCCAAAAAATTTTACCTTTTAAAACTCCGATGTCACAGCACTATTTGACACTTCTAGTTGACTCTCAGATATGAAGTGCACCCCACTAATGTACTAGTTTGCAGAATTATTTCCTAATATGTCCCTAACAGCTGCAGTATCCTCTCCCTACACTAAGAGCTCATGTGCGTGCGGCGCTAGTTTTTTTATAGAGGCTGGGTCACATACTGCACTGGCCAATCACAGCCATGCCATTGATAGGTATGGCTGTGATGGCTTCTAAGGGCACACGAGTCAAACGCTTGTTGATTGGCTGCCCTGCAGCTTTTCAAAACGCGACATTAAATCGCCATACACCGAACTCGAACCTGAACTGTTACTGAAATGTTCAGGTTCGGGGTAAAAAAAAACCGTAATGTTCGGTACAAACTCGAACTTTACAGTTTGGATTTGCTCAACTCTAATCACTACTAGTGAGTCTGACACTGGTGGTTACAGGACAGCTAATGGAATTGCAACTGCGACTTCAATCAAACTACTAATCCTACTAGTCCTACTTGTCTTTTCTGTTCTTCACATGATGGAGTTGCCATAGTAGACTCCTGTTTCTCCTCCTCTTTTTTCCTCTGGACCGTAATCTAATTTCAACTCATGCTCCAACTAATGATGCTTTCTTCATATACCTTTTTGGTGAAATGTGAAAAGGTTACCTCGACAAGTAAAAGAGATGACACTGATGCTGTTGACCAACAATTCTCTACCTCTACATCTCTCATAAAGGTAACTGCTGCTACTACTATCTTTGCTCATTGAATATGCATAGTACTAGTGGTAAAAGTAGTTCTCATTTGCAATATTGGGCTGCTGGCTTTTAGGCCACTGACTAAATATGTTGGTTAATAAGATAATCTCTAGGCTACTGATAAGATTCTCGATTCGCTTTGGTCTCCCTATTAAAACTACTAGTTGCTAGTTCAATTTCTTTATAATTAACTAAGGCCTTAATTTAATATTGTTATGTAAGCTTTCCAAATGATTTGATATTTTTGGATAAACTTTTAAAGGAACACTATAGTGTTAAGAATACAAAGCTGTATTCCTAACACTATAGTGTACCTCTGCCCTCTAATGTGCAGGCACTGTAAGCACTGTGCATGAAGCAGATCTTCCACATAGAAATGTATTGAACCAATGATTTTCTATAAGGATTTAAAAGACACTGGATCTTTTCATGCAACGTATGAGGATATCCAGTGTCGTTTCACAGAACAAAACCCTGTAAAATAACAGGAAGCGTCTCTAGTGGCAGTCTATTAGATAGTGCTAGTGTACCTAGACCACTCCATTGAGCTGAAGAAGTCTGTGTGCTTATGTTGTCACATATATATAACTATATCTATATGAAACCAAGAGGGCTGCACTCACCTGAACATGCTGTCAGGATTACAGAATGATCCAGCACATAGAATTGTGTAACAAAGAGGACTGATACACAATGGCCAGACTAACGTACCAAAGAATAGTCAGGATTAGCCGAGGTCAAGGGAAACAGAAAGAGACACAACGATAAGGAAAAGCCAGGAGTCAGGGATGCCAGAAAACAGGGAAGTCAAAAACAATGCCAAAGTCAAATAACCAGAATTAATAACGCGCTCTCTGTCAACCACAAGGGAAACCACGACAGGGCACTGAGCAGGATGAGAACTGGGCCTAAATACCCCTCCTCTAGATCTGATAGGCTGTAACCGACCTTTGACCCCAAAGCAGTTACCAGGTTTACATTTGCATAATTGCTGCTCAGCATTAACCCTTCTGTGGATTTGGTTGCTGCTCGGCACAACTTTTCCTGAGTGGACAGTAAATGTCATTAACCACATTTTTATAAGCGGATGAATACGTGACACATGCATACATTATAGGGCCAATATATACAACATACAAATACATAATCCAGCGCACTCGCTTATTCACTAAACAATGATTTCAAATCTTACCGATTGTAATAGTTTTATTTAAAAACACCTCACCTAGTCAAAAAATAATGGGGGTTTAGTTACATTAAATTTCATATATTGCAAAAGCCTGCCACAACATCAATGTGCCCCATTCTTGGCAGGTCCTACTCTAGCAGCCTAATGCTTGCTCTTATGAGAGTAATCCACTTACTTGGAAAATAGGTCCTCCTGGGACTCTCTGCAGGTCATGCTTAAATAGGGTCCTGGAATGAGGCACCTGTGACAGAGAGGGGTGTAAAACCAAGGAGTTGGCCTGGACTCCCAAATATATAAATGAAACCAATAGAGTTTTGCACCTCTCCCTGTCACAGGTGCCTCATTACAGGACCCTGTTTAGCTTTGACTTGCAGAGAGTCCCTGGAGGAAGTATTTCCCAAGTAAGTGGATTAATCTCATAAGAGCATGCATTAGGCTGCTAGAGTAGGACCTGCCAAGAATGGGATACATTGACGTTGTGGCGGACTAATGCAATATTTGATCATATAATGTAACTAAACCCCCATAATTTTTTGTCTAGGTGAGATGTTTTTAAATAAAACTATTACAATCTCTAAGATTTGAAATCATTGTTTAGTGAATAAGCGTGTGCGCTGCATTATGTATGTTAAATTTTTTTGAGTATTTTTCACAATATTAGATCATTTTAAAAGTTTATCCAAAAATATTAAATCATTTGGAAAAGCTTATCCATCAATATTAAATCGATTTCCTGAGACTTTAATACAAGAATCAACATGCTGCTCATTGCTCATTCTCATTCTATCTCACTCTTCAGTGCTCCAGCAGCAACAGAAAAATGTGAACCTGTCAGGCAGTCCTCTTTTCAAGTTCAACATTGGCCTAATTTTTACGCACTTAAAATAGTTTAGCTAAATAAAACACCCAATCCATATCAAAAGCACTGCAATGATGATTGGTCCATGATTGTAGTTACAGATTGGTCAGAAAATGTGCTCACCAGAAATCATGTTTATTACATGCATGTGATTAATTAGATGACCAAATGGTGTTTGAATGACATTTGGCCATTGAATTGTTCGCTCATTCTGTTCAGTTTTTTTGGGGGGGTTCTGATTAAATGACTGAAAACCATCATTTTCTGTCCTATTACATTTTTTCTGAACTGAATGCACATATCTAAAAGAA